ATCAATGTTGAGTACTATTGAAAATGCAAATGATTCCATTCAGGTGAAACAAAAAACGAAGACAGCTGGTGTGTGGAGTACAAACGTTATTCAGCAGCCCAAAGCCATTGCCACTTACAATAAGTATATGAATGCAGTGGACAGATCAGACCAAATTTTGGCTACCAATAATGTGTTGCGTAAATGCCTGAGATGGTGGAAGACTCTGTTCTTCCACCTGATTGATATTGCTGTTGTAAATAACTTTATACTTTGATGGGACCTACCAAGAGATTGCATTGATGGAGGGGGGTTCTCTTTCTCTTTTTCAAGCAGTGGGGCCTGCCAAGGGATAGCGGGGGTGGAGATGGGTCCCTTGGGGGGAGGGGCACTCCCACTTTATATTTGTTTTTCATTTTTCTAGTGGTGGAGCCTACCAAGAGATAGCATTGGTGGAAGTGGGTTGTATTTCTCCTTTTCTGGCTGTGGGGCCTCCCTAGAGATGGCAGGGGTGTAGGTGGGTATCCCTAGATAGACACACCCTTCATAAATTTTTTTTCTCAGATTTTTTTCTTCTTCTTATTTTCACCTTTTTACTGCGGTGTACAAATAATACTCTAATAAATTCTATATTCATTCTTTTTCAGCCAGAATTGCTGGACATGTTGCCAATATGACAAGGAACATTTTTGTTTTCAACTTTTCCTCACAGCCTTACACCAGTTTGAAATTTGTTGGCTTTTGTCCAAAATTTTTTGTTAATTTATGCTAATTTATGCAAATTTAATTAAGGTATCACATTTCAAAATGTCTTGTTTTGGATAAATTTTTTTTCCCTGAAAGCCTGTTCTATAACCTTTCAAATAAGGTATGACTTGCCACTCAATTGTAAATACCTGTTGAGAAAATAAAGGAATATTAAAAGTCGTCAATTTTGCCTGTTTTTTGATGTGACGGGATCCTCAGAAGTATTTGGCTGCCTTGCAGATGAGGTTACAGACATATCAGTACTCCAGCAATTTGCTGTCTTTGTGAAGTATGTCAACGCAAGTGGAATGCCCCAGACAGACTTTTTGCACACAGAACATATGACCAATGCTGCCACTGGACAAGAGTTGGCCAAGTGTCTCAAGAAAATTGTTGAGGATTGCCAGCTGGAACTGAAGAAGATGAAAAGTTGTGTTACAGATGGAGCAGGAGCAATGATTGGCAGGCACAATGGAATGGCAGCAATCATAAAGAGAGAAGTACCAGATCTAATTAACATCCACTGTGTGTGCCAGACTCGCACTTGCGTGTGCAGATGCTTCTAAAGAGCTGAATTATATCAAGAAAGTTGAAGGTCTTCTGCTGCAAGTATGGAAGTTCTATGAGTATTCCCCCAAGAAAACAGCAAAGTTTGCTGCTGTGCAGTCAGGGCTATTCAATCTTCTGCCAAAAGATCAGCTTTCCCAAGCAAAGAAGCATATGAAGAAGGCAAAGAAAGCAGTTGCAAGTCACTGGCTTTCCTTTGATGAGTCTGTAAGGGCAATGGTTCAAGAGTTTATTGCACACCTGCAAACGTTTGAGTTCTTTAAGGAGGGTGAAGCTACTGCTTCAGGTCTACTGACGCAAACCAGAAGTCACAAATTTATCGGTACACTCTACATTCTTAAAGAAATCCTCACACACTTAGCAGTTNGACAGACTTTTTGCACACAGAACATATGACCGACGCTGCCACTGGACAAGAGTTGGCCAAGTGTCTCAAGAAAATTGTTGAGGATTGCCAGCTGGAACTGAAGAAGATGAAAAGTTGTGTAACAGATGGAGCAGGAGCAATGATTGGCAGGCACAATGGAATGGTAGCAATCATAAAGAGAGAAGTACCAGATCTAATTAACATCCACTGCGTGTGCCACAGACTCGCACTTGCGTGTGCAGATGCTTCTAAAGAGCTGAATTAAATCAAGAAAGTTGAAGGTCTTCTGCTACAAGTATGGAAGTTCTGTGAGTATTCCCCCAAGAAAACAGCAAAGTTTGCTGCTGTGCAGTCAGGGCTA